TAATTAAAAAAACACCGAAATTCTAGTAAATTAAATACATAATCTACATTAATTCTATCGTTTTCAAATTAATTCCTGTAATTTCAGCTTATTTTTAACTTAATTGTTGTAATTCCAAAATAATTCCTATGATTTCAAATTAATTCCTGTGATTTCAACTTAATTCCAACTTAATTATTGTAATTCCAAAATAATTCCTGTAATTTGAAATTAACTCCGATAGTTCTAAGAAATTTAACGTAATTTTAAAAACAAACTATCTCCGATAATTATTAGAAAAAAAGTTCCAGCAATTTCAAAAAAATCCACCAAAATTCCAGTGAATTCAAGACGTAATTCATCGTAATTCCATTGGTTTCAGATTAATTTCACAATTCCGAATTAAATCATAGTTCTAAGAAATACAAATTTTTAAAATAAATTATTTCTGATAATTCAAAAAGAATTCTAGTAATTTCAGAAAAATCCAATAATTCACAAATAATTCCAAACAGTGTAAAAGTAATTACTTAATTAGAGTAAACGCTTCCTCGCAAAAACATTAGTTACACTACTGTTTTGAGAAAAAATTAAATATGGTTCTATAAAAAGATTGTTTTTTTTTTGTCTTCAATTTTTTTTTTAATTTAATGATTTTTCTCCAGGTTTCATGCGTACACGCCACCATCTTTTTCCTTCTAATATCAGTCACTTTGGCTAGACCGGGGAATTTCGAGGAATTTGGAGTTGCCCCACATGAAGACAAATGTAAACTGGGTGATGTAAGCATTTCAAACAAAGTTTTAGTTAAGTTTTGCACAATTTTCTCTATTTTTAGTTAACTGTGATAGAAGTCTGTCAAAGATGTGCCAAACAGACCAAATCATCTATTGTATACCCCATGTGTTGCGAAAACGAAGACGACGCTTACAACTGGTGTGACCAATACATTAATTACGGAAAAAAATCTTAAATGTCGTAATATATATTTTATTCTTGCTTCTATCGGGTACCAAGACGCATGCACGAGTATAAATTTACTAAATTTGACTAGTTTTTTATATTAAAACATTACCAGTCTAGTAGGTTTTGTCCTGTTTTGCGATTTGCAAAACAGTGATAAAAATTATACGAGCAAGATAAGTATGGCTGTGTTATAACAATGTACGTTATGTAGTTTTTTATGTATTTGTGTAATATTTATTTATTCTTTTGTAAATACATTTTTTTATTATAACTTGGCGTTTTTTTAACAATCAGAACATACATTAAAAAAATAACTTTATTACAATAAATAAAGGTTT